AGAAGGCAACGTACAGTGTAAGTGCTTTGCCCTAATCCTCTTTACTTTGGAAATAAAATTGAGATTTTCACTAGAAACAAACCAAGGTCAACAGCGAGACACTCTAGAATTCTAGACTTTCAGTACTCAGAACAAGGGTTGACCTGGCACGCACATTACCATAACATATACAAACATTATATATGTTTGACAATTTTGTTTTAAATACATAATTTTCATGATTCTGAGAGGTCATATATGAAATTTGGTATTCAAAACCTTAAATCATCATAAATATATATAAAATGAAGGTGATATCATGACCAGGTTCTTCTTCAAAGAAAACAAATATGAATTATGGATAATTATGTTGATTAAGACGTGGCTGAATCAGTCCATTGTAACACTTGGAGGGACGTATCAGATCAGGGTTGGAAATATTCCTTAATAGATCTACATAGATGATGTAGATACACAAAGAACATTTAAAGAACATATAAACTTTATCAAATACGATTCTAGTCTGCATGGTTCTCTCCAGAACCTAAAATTTTCTCCAATTTTTTTTTCTAATTCCTTTTTTTATTTTTCATATATAGTATACAAGTATTTTTTTCATTTTCTTTTTCAGTATTTCTGTAAATTTCTACTCCATTGTCAACTTATATGCTCTTCCATTGTCAAACCTCTTCATATTTTATTTATACACATATTTTATTTTACACAAAGAGGCTTTACCATAAAACGAATATACAGTAACATTTTATTTAATCCTTTAGTGTTGTGGACTGCTACACAAAACTCACACAAATGGGAATTAAAATACACGTAAATCCACATATATTTACCACTAACAAATTATTTGAAAAGACCTGTATTTACCTGTAATTTACTTGTACCACTGCTGAATTTTCATGCTAAATTTAGTTACCATTGTACATGTTAACTGATTAATTATACACGTTTCTACTAGTTCTTCCAAGTTTTTAAAATAATTGATTTCATGCCAAATACATATTTTTCCTACTTTGAAATTAAACCGACTGGCTTACAAATTAAATGGATTTTGTATAGAATGCTATCAAGACTAGAATTTGTCAGAGCTATTTGACCAGAACTAAGTTTGAACAAGGCATTGAGCTCTTCACAATGCCTGTAGTTTGGTGTTACTAGGGCAACATGGTCTGAATGCCTCGACGCAAATCGAATTTAGACATAAAATCATGCGCAAAAGAGGAAATTTTTGGACTAGGTGACGGCCCTACTTGACTGCCAGTCTTACCTGGGTTTTAATATTTCCACCTATATCACTGTTTGTATTATATCAAGGTTTCTGGCAGATTAAACTAAAACCAGCTATTTATAGGCTTTTTCAACTTATATAAAAGCAGATTCGTGTGTGGATTTGGAAAGGTACTTTAATTGTGACTGATAAAAAAATGGGACACATATATGAATTACACACAATTCTCAGTCATTTTATTTTCATACTTATGAAATACAACCCCTTGAAAGCCCATTTTAAAATAATTGTGTATTATAAACAATAAAGACTAACACAAGGTAACATAGTTACTGTACAGTTAGGTCTAAAACTTTTGCTTAGTACTTAGGAGTTTGTATACACATGTAAAATCCAGCTCAAACCGTAAATATTTAAAAGCATGCTAGAAATCTCCAATATTTGTCTAGTCCTAGTACTAGTATGCAGAAACAATATTTAATTTACAACTCATTCAATTTGTGGTTGTTATGGTGACCATGATAACACACACACAATTTTACCTAGGCATTCTTCTATACATATAAGTCTTATCTATAAAAAGAAGGCAAATTTTATGGGGTAGTGTACATTTAGTGCCACAAATATCCAGTCCTCTATATCTATACACACAGATCCCGATAAATACCGGGGTCACTACGATAAAAAATCTTTTAAAATTAGATTTCACTCGTGTTATTAATTACATTCAAAACATGAGTTTGGACTGCCACAGATTTTTTGTCATCAACATCACGTTTCACACTGATACTGCCCATTAATCATGAAAACCATGTATTTCAGGAAATAATCTAAATTCATAATCATAAATATTACTGCTTCTAAATTGTGATGATGTTTCAGTGTCAGTTTAAGAAAAAAGCAAAAAAAAAAAAAACAATTAATTGACTTCAATTGTTCTTTGTTCATTTGACAAGAACACCGAATGATATGATAATGATTATTACTCATAGTAAGTGATGATATTCGTAGAAAACTAACGATATCTAAGATGTATTCCAAGGATATGAAGTATTTTGAAATAATTCTGTATAGTGTTGCGGAGAACATATTAACATAACATGACAAGTTATTAATTAATTAATTAATTAATTAAATCTAGAGGTTAAAATTCCTGTACAGGAAATGATTTCGTGAAAAACAGAAACTGTGATGTAACATTTTTTTGATGCTCATATACTGATACTGACTTTCAAGACTATTTCAGCATTACTTAGGATCCATATATTGTCTGAGAGATAAGAGATTGAAAACATTACTTCTTAGCAATTATTTTTGTTGTAAGCAAGCATTTTCCACTAGTTTTTTAAGTGCTGAATGTTTGTATTTGACAGGTAAGGGAAATCTGATTATTGCACAGAAACTTATTTTCTATTTATAGAAACAATGACCTTGACCGTTGACTTTCAATATTGAGTGAGGAAATATCAAGCTGGCAACGCCTGAGGTTGCTAGGCTCCCAAGAACTTAAGTTACTGGATAGAAACCAGTCCTCTATCAATGCAAATGGTGACTGTGACCTTTGACCTTCATATCTGACAGGCAGTTATCAGAAACTAATGCTAAGATGAATTGTATGAATTTGGAGTTTAATGGGCCTAGGTAAACACAGATTATTGCACAGCAATCAACTATCTACAAATATATAGCAACCTTGACTTTTCAAATTTCAAGCAAATTGTATAAAGTTCAAGTTTTGTGCACTCACATTTAATTCAAGTTTGTTAATGACTTACACTTTACAATAATTAAAATTTCTATCAATCATGTATTTAAAAAGAAAAGATACAGTATCCATGTATCTATAAGATATATTGCCATTATGATAATTTGGAACAATTGGCTGATAAGACAACCGAGGAAAACACAGCTGAGTAACTACACAATTTGTCTACTAACTGCATGGCAACACTCAAAACTTCAATTCATCATCAGTGTCAATATCAGTTAAAATCTATACATTTGTGAGTCTGTATTGAAGTCTATCGCTAGAGGACTGATCTATAAAATACTCAGTGAAACTTTGTCAATTAATATCTCCATTTTGACAGTAAAAGCAAGATCTTTAGAATAATACTTCTGCAAACAAATGGACCACATTTTCATTGATTCTGAGATCGATCCCGCCTGTCATCAGCTGACTGACGAAGAATCAATTTCCTATGGGATAGTGTCGTTAAAATGTCACCGGTTGCCACAGTGATATGAGATTTTGCCCCCAGGTTTCCCTGACAATTAAGTCTTGTCTCTAGACTGATTAACATGAAAAATTAAACATAAATTTATTTACTTTCAAACCATGTAATAAATGTCGAGAGGCGTGAAAACAATAAATTCCTCCATTGTGTGAGTATGTAGAGTAAATGATGCCTGGAATAGTAATGAGATTATATCTACTGCTGTATATACTGGTATTTTGTGAATATAAAAAAAGGGTGAAATGTAATTTTAATTTCCTTAATGAAAAACAGTTCTGAAGATAAGGTTAATAAATTTCTATGAGTTGTCAGAAGAGGTCGCTAAATCTGACAGGTGACCTCAATGAACCCCAAAATAATAAATTCTAATTTTCGCATGTAGAATTTTGATCCATAAAATCTAAAATCTGTACATATAAATGAAGAACGATTCTCTATCAATTAAAAAATACAATGTATTATGTAAACTTTCTTTTCGGATTTATGTTGACTGGCGTAATGAAACTTTGGTACAATTAAACATATAAGTATCCATCTAACGTCAGACTATGAATATGATATGTAAATCAAATATGATCTTTTGCAAAACAAATTGAGGTGGCAATTTGGCCCTTGTTTTACAATTGTGGCCCAGCTTCTAATGAAATGAGCCAAAATGTTACTAAAGTGAGAAAAATCTAATCAGAGCAAACCTACATATCATTTAATGAGCATACCTATAACCCTCTTACCTACATCTTAACATCTTCGCATGAATGGACGAGGCAATATATTTGAACAGTGTCAAGTGTAAAGCAGTCTGTGTGTAATGTTGGTCACTGTGACCTATATCTTAACACTGTCAATGTACGACATCGTGTGTGTAAGGTTGGTCACTGTGACCTATATTTTAACACTGTCAATGTACAACATCCTGTGTGTAAGGTTGATCACTGTGACCTATATTTTAACACTGTCAATGTACAACATCCTGTGTGTAAGGTTGGTCACTGTGACCTATATTTTAACACTGTCAATGTATAACATGCTGTGTGTAATTTTGGTCACTGTGACCTATATTTTAATGCTGTCAATGCACACCATCCTGTGTGTAAGGTTGGTCACTGTGACCTATATCTTAACGATGTCATATGTACCACATTCTGTGAGTAGGGTCGGTCACTGTGACCTATATCTATTTTAACATCTTAAAATGACTGAGCTTTCCGAGAAAATAGGTCACCTTCTCCTCCTAAATCTGACATTCTAAAAATTTAAATAAATGTCAGTCAGAGAAGATAGGTTCAGAATGACCAGGGTTCCATAATTATAAAAGGATTTCTATCACAACATGTACCTTACCATCTTTGCTGTTTTCCAGTCCTGCTGACCACAACATGTTGGTTGAGATATTTAACAAATTTCAGCCCTACCTACTCTCGAGATGTAGCTGGACTTTTTTACCATGACACATTGAATTGAACTATTCTAAATTCAGTAAAGTCAAACAGAAAAGCCTTGTTACACAGCACAAAAAGAAATTTCTATAACAAGAATCTTACCATCTTCACTCTGCTTTCCAGCCTTGTTGACATGAGAGTTGACATAGTTGATGAAGATTCCAGACTTGCCTTCCTGAGATGTAGGAGGAGACTGCTTTGTATCCCCGTTTACTGCTGGATCCATTTGGAAGTTCTTTGGTAGGATAGGCCGAAACTTGTCCTTGCCTGGCATCACCAGACCACCATGTGCTAATATTTTATTTGAAGAGAAGTTTTCTGGGTGAACTTGACCGGTAACGGAGTCTGCAGATCGACTAAGCCCATACATCTGTAGCAATTCATTCATGGTGTTCTCTGCATAGTCTTTCAAGGCAGATATCTCAAGATTGTCTTGCTTTGAAGAATTTTTCGGGGTTGACTTTGGCACTGAAGGTTTATCTGTAGATGCAGTTAAACGTAAATCTTCTGGTGAGTTACGTCCAGACTCACTTCTCAGCGATACTTCATCGCCATCCATACTATATTCAAATTCAGAACTGTCACTGTCCATGTAATCGTCCGCATCTGTCCGACACACAGATAGATCAAGCGGCATGTTGATGCTCTGCGTCATCTGCGGTTTTCTAGCCTTTCTAGAGTTCCTGCTCTCAGAAGATGCAGAAGTGAGGTTTAGTGAACTAGAGCTATCATTAATACTGCTGTTAGAGGTAATACTGTTTTCTGTAGATTGAGATTTTACTACACTCAAATTCTCTCCCACGTCCATACTTTCATTTTGTATTCTCACATTTTCTTCTTCATCCATATAATCATCGTCATTTTCTGGAGGTGGAAATGTTGTATTTTGGTTGTTTAACTCATACTCCGCTAGTTCATCCTTATCATCTATACTATCATACTGTTCGATGATTTCTCGCACTTGTGTAATATTGCGTGGGGTTGCTTTACGACTTTTTCTTCGGCTTGCCCCGAACACCTTTAGTTGACTAGATACTGTTGATGTGGATGCTGATGCTGTAGACATGGAGATCGGTAACGTTGTAGGAGTTGACATAGATATAGTGGTAGATGGTTTTACAAATGACGTATCAACATTCCCTCCATTCTGATCTATACTCTCTACCTCCTCATTTTCCATGGTTACCAAATTACTCCCATCTTCATCATTTCTCTGTGAAAGATTTAAGGTCTTCGATATATTTTTATCACTAATACTAGGATCATGTGCCTCTTTTTCAGTTGTGTCGTTGTTATTCTTTTCACACCCTAATTCTTCTTTTTCACAACATGATGTTGTAATGCTATTTGATATAGGGCCAGAAGTGTCACTTACGGTATCATGGTATTTCCTTGTCACTAGAGACAGTGCATGCTCTTCAGATCCGCTACAACACACAGCTGTTTCATCAACCTTCTTTTCATTTATGTCTGAAGACAAAGTGTTTCTATCATTGTCCTTTACCAGTGAAATCGGGCTATTTTGGGGTATTTCATCTTCACCGTTATCCAAAACCTCTTTTTCAAAAGTGTTCGTTGCCAGGGAGAGGTTGACGGGACTCGTACAATTAAAACTGGCCTGAGTTAAAGGTTCTGGATGACAGGGAGTTGATGATGAAGGTAGGCCAGGAAGAGACAGAGGAGGATCATTGCTGATCAACTTCAGTTTGGCACATATTGCATCAAGCTTGCGTGTCTTCGTTGAGACTACAGAGGCCATTTTGGAAGTTCCTTGGACGGCAGCAGTGTAAAAATGGCTTGTCGAAATGAAGTCACATAATGGTGATGTTGTCTATAAGTTATCAGAAATCCATGCTGTATCTGCAGAGTCTGTGACCATCTTCTGAAATTATACAAGATCTCAGTAAGAATTTCTCATCAGGAAAAAATCTTCTTTTAACACTTTATTGAGTTTTCCCTATGCCTCCATCTTTACCGGTCCTGCATGTATAGATTTGTATTGGACACTACAACACGTACAGAGAAATCGTCAAAGATGAAAAAATTTATAACAATCTAATGTCCTCGGTCATGAAAATATCTCTGTCCCCCAAGTTGATTCATTAGTCAGTTTGTAAATTCCATGAAATTTTGCAAAAACTTCATAGTTTACAATAACTGACAGGAGAAAACTAAGCCAAAACATCAAACTTCTGTAAAACTATTAAATTTTCATTAATTTTTGTGGGTACTCTAAAAGGACTTATCTGTATATCCGTTAAATCATTAACATCTAAAAATCATTAACATTGTTTTTACTCTTTATCCACAAAATCTAGTGCTTATAATAATAGCATTCTTTTTTCAAAATAATAAAAAAAAAAGAAATGTAAGCTTTCATAAAAAAAATGTTTTCACAGAAAAACTTGAATTTGTCAAAAATACACAATTTTTCTCTAATTTCATAAATATAACATACATTGGTCAACATGAAACATAAAGATTTGGTTAAGTACATTAATTTCTAATTCTCCACTGTATAACTGAAAAAATTCTATTTGTAACTTTTAAAGCTGTTATGTGGGAAAATAATTCCAGTATTGGAGGAAAGCATCAAAAGTGTCAACTCCTACAGGATAAAAATGTCAGTGACATTTTAGACTAAACTGGCGATGTTGGAAAGGTCATTTTCTCATGAACATGATAAAACACCCAATATTTCTGCGGAACTGCTTTAATTTACAATAATAAAGTCCCAAAATCAAAAACCCAAATGTCAATTTATTGAAACTGTGTACAATATGCTTACTGTACTACATTAGCACAGAGATTTTACTGTAGAAACACTTTATACTATGTATTTGTTTTTAACTCTCCAATTATTTTGAATAGCTATACTTGAGCTGCCACTTAACTGTTGAATGACACAAATACCTATAGTATTTAAATATTATTATTTAAAACCTGAATGAAACCTACACCAAACCCTCAATTAAAATGGATTATTCTGGCAGTATTGGACACACAATGGCCAATAAATAAAATTGTGTGTATATGTCCACTTTCCTCACTAAATACCAGAGTTTTAACTATCTGTACTCTAATTATTTTTTTTTTTATCTAAATCTAGTTTCTCAATGTCACTGACTAAAACTATAAAATATCTCTGTTTAGAGACAAGTTTCTTTCTAACAAACAGAAATTTCTATCAAACTGCTTTCAGACTGCAAAGAAAATTAAACTTCTGTTACATATTTGTCATAAGTAAAAAGCAAGCCAAAGTACTTATAACATTATTATCGTTTGACACTCTTCAAGTTATAAAATTAACTTCAAAATCAACAAAGAATAAATTTGCATACATCTCAAATTACAATTAGAGGTTTTTACTACCTTATTATCGGTATATATTACTTTCAATCTCTGCACAAAAATCTTGAAATATTTGCGGATTTATAGTGTATTTGACTAACATGATCTAGTTTGCTATCTTTTTCTCTGCTTTGGTTGATTTTGATGTGGTATATCAGTAAAACTTTACCTTGGCCTTGACCTTCAGGCCAGTAGGCTGAAAAATTTGTCCGAGATATTTGAGTTCTGAACATCTGCACAAGTTTTCATACAACATGTATTTAAAATGAGACAGATTTAGCAATGACGGACAGATTGACAGATGGACAGATGGACAGACATCACTTTCAAAGACAGGGTTATAATCCAAACATACGACTCTTCCCATTTGACTGAAAGATACAGAATAATGGTATAAATGTATCTGCTTAAAAGCAATTCCATCAAAAAGAACTTCACAGAGAGGCAAGTTTTGCATCAGTTTGATCAATGAAATGAATTAGGCTCTCTAACCATCAACTATTTCTAGAATTTTGCCGATAACAGATCCGATAAAAACAGAAAAACATAACTCACTATTTTCCCTGTTTTTAGTAATATAAAGCTATGAAGAGAATACAGCTTGCTAAACCCCTTCAACACAGCTTTGGGACAAAAGAGGGACGCTTTTCTCACATTCATTGGAAATCAATTTGCTCTTTCGCATTTCATTGAATAATAACTCTGAAAAAGGATTTTCTCGGCAGACATTGATCATGGAGTTGGGCTATTAAGAGGATTTCACCACCAAAACGGTGAAGTCTTCACTTCATTGTGTGAAATATTGCTATAATGCGAAACAGTCACTACCTTTGTAAAAGCTGCAGAAATGCACAATCTCAATCAAATATTGATGAATTATAGTTAATTAAAGTTATAATATATTATTCAGCTTATAATTTCAAAATACATTTTAATGATTTTCACATGAAATATTTCAGTTATCATTGTCACAATATCAAATTCAAAGAAAGGAAAAAATGTTGAAATAGCAGTCTTAAAAGTATTTAATTAAAATCAGATGTGAAGTTTTCAGTACAAAACAATTTGTCACTGGATGACAACTGCATCAGAAAACTCCTATAATATGCACAAAATATGAAGGTAAATGCTGTCAGATGAATCTTTTCAATTATTACAAGATGGGAGGTTTAGTTTGACTGAGAAAGAGAACTTTCATAAAATCACTGACAATGTAAAAACTGAAAAACTGCATAGAAAATTAACAAAAAATCATTATTACTGCTTTTTTTTATAAATACAAAACAGGAAAAAACAATATCTCTGAAATGATCAGGAACTTGTACAAAAGTAAGACATATTTCTTTCATGTGAAACACAAGATTTTAACATAAAATAGCTTAAAGCTCTGTCAATTTATAAAAATGTACGTAAATGCCAAGTATAAAACAATAACATTACTCATGTTCTTTTCAGAATATCACTTCTCTCACTGTCATGACTGTTAACTTCCATGAAATTAATTGAATTATTGTGTGTAGATTTTCCAAGGGACCTCTGGTTTGAAGATATCAAATTAAAACACTGTCTTTTGTTCTGTCATGAGTGGGGAAACGGGGAAACATAAATCCCTATCATCACTTAACTGTCACTGGCTGCCTCTGATATTGACAAATGATTAAATTAGGCCAATGAACCTGACCCCAGGGCATACAATACCTGTACATAGAAATAACAATAAAACTCCTCATAATTATTAATTCTCATAAAAACACGATTTTGTAATATAAAAAACTACAAAGAGCAATAACGAAAATTACAGGTAAAATTTTAAACTAAGGTATGTTTATCATAGAACACCAATCAAAGGCAAATTTCCTTATATTACTACCTTTAATGGTAACTAATTATATGAAATCTCTTACATGATGAAAATCAAATCTTTGTATATTTGCTGTTTTCAATGATTAATAAATCTAATTAAACTTGCTATTTTTAATAACTAACTAATTTTCATAAATTTGCTATTTTTAATGATAATACATCAAAGTGATTCAGAAAAATCTATAGTTTTTTTTAAAATTAACTGGAATACACAAGATTCTTAATGTACAACAATGAAGAATTTCTTTTCATCATTTACTGACCAACTAATTCAAATACCTGGTAATGACCAGATGTTACAAATGCAAAATCTACTCAATTTCATTATTATGTCTAGGTTAACTGAATCATACTCAGGAAACTGCAGTACAAACTTGTACATCTAGAAGAATGTCTTGTTTTAGCTCATCAATAATTTAACACTGATGAAGAAACCTTAAATACAAATTTCTGCTTTCAATAGAAGCATAATCTACAACATAGATATATCATAAGTACATGTGTATATATATATATATATATATATATCACAAACTTAATGAAGAAATGTGTCTGTGTCTTAATAGATTTCAGAAACCTATACAGACAGACCTTAAGATACACACAAAAGTACACGTTTCATTCTATCATGGAACACAAGTCCATACTTTCTAACCAAAAGGGTTCACAAGTTTTACCTTGTCATGATTAATCATACAGCCAAAAAACCTAACAGCTTTATTACATTACTCATGAATTAACAAATTGCTAAAACAATTTTTTGGTATTGCAATATTAAAAATCAATCTGAAACTTCCATTTGACATTTAATGCAGACAGATTTTAATTTGTCATTACTGTTTCTTAAACCATATTTAAGCTATTTTAAAGCCAAAATGATTTCCACTAAATCTTAACCTCAGAAAGACTTTAAAACTTCTGAAACAGACCTTTAACAATACAGATGATGCTCCAACTCATGAAGCTGACAACATGGAAGTGTAGATCTTATCTGTATAAGAGCTCCAAATGGTTTCCTTCGTTGATAGCGACTAAGTGACACGATTAGAACAATGGACAAATTACTGTTTTATCTGATTACAAAGATATAAGCGAAAGCCTTAATATCACATTTTCTTCATGGCTTTGATTACGATCAATCATTAATACTCACAAGTTTAAAAGTATTTCTTTTCTATTTGTGGTTACTAGATACAATATACATATTATTTCTTTTTCAACAAAAATGAAAATTTTGATAATGAAATATGCATAAGGAATGATGTAATATGATAAAAAAGAAAAAGATTCTGTCGTTACTTCCTACTTCAATAGAAGACAATGGACAACATAAATTTCCATAATTTTCCTTAATTTAGAATCAACACCTGTCAAAAAAATGTGGGAAAGCACTCTGGTCATGTCAAATCTAGTATAACTTGTAATACATTTTATGGTACTCCAGAGTGCAAAATAATGTATGTTCTATATAACTTCACTAAAGAACAGGTATAATGCTCTTTTTTAAAGAATTGAAACCTCGTAATGACTCATTCATAGCTCTTA